GATGTCAGAGATTGACTTCACATGTAGCATTTAGACATTTTCATATTCTTTGCTGTAAATGTAAATAGTTGAATTGTCTCCTCCGATGGCAAATCCTTATTGCATGGCTTATATCACTTCAATCAAAAAGGGTTGTTTGTTTTGGTGGTAAGGATTCTTCAAGTACCGAACATATTCAGCATTTTCATCACAGAGGAATACCTCTCCCAATTAGGTACATACAATCAGATGATCTGGATGTTAGATCATCCAGGCATGACAACAGTAATTATTTGATAAATCGGCAGGTGCTTTTTATAATGAGGCTGCCACTTATTTGAGAGTGTAGCTCTTAGTTTCGCCCTCATTTTGAATCATCTTAAACGATTTGAAAATTCCTTTTCCGATCACAGTGATGAAAGTGGCATCATTAGGTTAAAAGGCTACTTCTAGACATTCATTATTTCCAGAAGCCACTTTAACAGAAGCTAAACATTTCATTGTATCAGTTTGAAAGTAACATAAATATGAATCAACAGGACTGCCATTGACAGAGACTCCTCCACTCAATCCAACCAAAGTTTTTGCTTCTGCATTAGGTCCAAATGCAACAGATACCCATTCCTTGACAGGGGCATCATGATAGATTAGCGTTCTTTTTTTCTTTTAGGACATTGTGTCGTAAATTTGAATTGCAGGTTTTTCTCCTTTGACGCCTGCAGCCAGAAATCTCTTCATTGGGGAGAGAGTCATACAGGAGAACCCTCTGTAATGTTCGAATCCTTAGAAGTAACTTTGACTCTTATCCTGCAATGAGTAACACACTATATGAAAGCCTGCTGGGTAGATGATTCGCGTATCATCCATGAAGTAGAGGTTATTCTGTAAATTGCTGTTCAATCTGAAGATGTGTTTTGTTGAAGCTGCTGTGACATTTACAGAGTGGGAATCATCATTAATTAATAATTATAAGTACTTTTTTAGTATTATATTTATTTAAGAGAGAAAAAATCTTCAGGAGGGCGAGTTAATAAATATAATAATTGTGGAATAAACAAATATTGACCACAGTATTCTCATTGATTACTACCTGACCCTTGACGAACGACAGATCATTTGGCCTGAAATTTAATTACGATTTCATGAGCCCATTGTTTTGCTTCAGATTTTTAAATTTTGAATGTGAATGGATTTTTAAATCTGCAATTATATAAAGCAGGTATTTATGTATAAATAACATAATAGCATCTATTTAACATCCTTTTACAATTTAAAGGCTTTTCTCCTTTAAGAGGCGAAACTTTATCATATTTTTCCTTGAGTTCCTTATTGGAGAACTCCTCTACTAACTCAAAACCTTGAAAGAATATCAGAATTTTGATGGAATTCTGCATTTGTATGTTATACTTGCATCAAAAGGAAATCATTTATCGTGACATCAAACCTGAAAACATCCTTCTCAACTTATTTGGACATATTCACATATCTGAAATTCATACTCTCTAAAGTCACAAACCATTCTTAAAGTTTAAATGGATCTAAAAAATACATTAATCCTGAAATGCCACTCAAACTGGAAACAAAATACAAGTCGATCATAATTCTTCTGAAACCTACTCAACATACTTGTTATCATTTCTGTAGCAAAAAGACTAAAAAATTCTATGACTCTATACTCAATGAATAATTCACATTCCGACAATTTCTAAGTCAAATAAATCAAAGATTATTAGCCAAAGAACCTAATAAAAGATTAGGAGTGCATATAGGAGACAAAGAAATCCTTCAACTTAAATGGTTTAAGAAAGTCAATCTGACACATCCTAATGAAACGATTGAATCCTCCAAAAATCTGATATTTAGAATTTAAATTTCGAAATTAAACTTTAAAATTTGGAATTGAGTGAGAGATTGATAAGGATGGCAATTTCAAATAAAATGACTTTAAAATTTTTAATGAATTCTACTTGATTATAGATAAAATAAACGAATAATAGATTAACAAAGAGTATTGAAAACACATGAAGAACGGGGATTCTATTTAATTACCTCCAATTAATTCTATAAATTATCAGTTCTGCTATGCAAATCGAATGCTTTGACCCCATAGACTAATACATTCTAGTGAGATTCAATCAAAACCAACTTGAGAATAATGTGAAAGAGATTTCGGTTAAAATAAATAGCAATTATTAATTCAAATTTTTTGAGATGAACATTATTAATTAAAGGTTTATATATTTGTAATGGATTCTTTTCATGAAAATCCTAAATTAATCAAGATAAATTTGTAGTTGTAATTCTTAATATGTAGATAACACAACTAATTAACAAAATCAGATTGTAGTTATTGTCTAGACATATGGGGTTAATAATGCTGGGAGTTATAGAGAGTGCCTAACTCTAGATTCCAGTGGAGTTCTTTAGGAGCTGCACTAAATATTTTAAATTAAGTTGTAATAGTAATATGATACTCTTTAATGCGTCATCAAGATTTATGTTACTAATCGATGATTTAAGTCGAAAGTTCTGGAATAAGCATTTGTTCGAGGGTATGGATAGACTAGAGATAATTTACAAGAAAGAACTCTGTATGCTATCAAGGTAAAGTCCCGAATCAAGTAAGACTAACCGAAAATAAGGAGGTGGTCCTTAATCTCACTCATAGTCTCAAGTCCCCTAGCTTCATATCCCTTCTGACCATGTTTGAAGGATTTTCAGAGTTCTCTGGCAATAGCTGGGGTCCCCTTCCAGTTTAGGAACATTTGAGAATTCTGTGCTGAAGGACCCTGATAAGAATTTATTACAAAATATCAAAAAATATTATAATAAATGGGTATTGAATATTTAAATCAGACGATATCAAAATACTTGGTATTATAGGACAACTGTTGATTTAAGATATTACAAAATCCTTTATTTATGCCAATTTTAAGAATAGCCCAAGATATGTGATGAGTTAAAAACTATTCAAATTAGCTAAAAATAGCTATAACATTTTTATGCTTTTCAATATTGATTATTAATACAACTTTAACTTATCAATACATTGTTTCATATATCCTAAAGAATTCAAAATTTATATGAATTTTATAGCGTAGCAGAGTCATAAGACCTTAAAATAATACTATACCCGTATCATACTACACATTTTCTTCTTTAGAATTAATAGATATAGTTTAAATCATTAAAAAATGATAAGTTATTAAACAGTTTTCTTAAATAATGAAAACCTCTATTTGAATATATTAAATGACTTATTAAAATAACTAATTTTATTGTATTCAATTAAAAATTAAAACAATTTTTTATTTACATGTTATTATCATCAGTCATTATTTGTTGTAATCATTATCATACATTTATTTATCATTTAAACTGTTTAAATCCTTGAATACGAAAACAACATATCTTTCAGTTTGAATTACTTTTATATGTATAGCAAATCTTATGTTCTACATCAGCGAAAATATTATATATTTTTATACTTTTATAATAATCAATTTGATTTCTTTTCTTATTCGATTTCTAGAATGCAGCTTCCTTTGGATTTGAATATTGATTTTAGATCAACGTCATAATAATTTACAAATTCTCCTTCCAAGATTAAAGCTCCTTACGCTTCTAAATTGAGATTCTATGAAATTTTTAGAATGGTAATCAAAGAGGTGGCTAAAAAATGATGTAAAATAAATACCACTTTCTGGAAAAACATTATTTTTAATTGTTGAAGGATTAATTTATGCTAAAATATCTTTATACCAATTTTCTGAAGATAAGATTTCTTATCCTGTCTTAACATCCCATAAACGGATAGAGTGATCTGAACTACCAGTTGCTAATGTAGTACCATCAGGAGAAAAATTGACTGACATAACATAACTTAAATGACCATTTAATTTGGCTATTTATTATCCTGTCTTAACATCCCATAAACGGATAGAGTTATCATAACTACCAGATGCTAATGTAGCACCATCAGGAGAGAAATTGACTGACATAACATAATCTGAATGACCATCTAATTTGGCTGTTTATTATCCTGTCTTAACATCCCAGAAACGGATGGAGTTATCTTCACTACCAGATGCTAATGTAGTACCATCAGGAGAGAAATTGACTGATATAACATACCTTGAATGACCATCTAGTTTGGCTTTTTATTATCCTGTCTTAAGATCCCATAAACGGATAGAGTTATCATAACTACCAGATGCTAATGTAGTACCATCAGGAGAGTAACAAATTGAATTAACTGTTGATGAATGACCATCTAATTTGGCTTTTTATTATCCTGTCTTAACATCCCATAAACG